CTATAAACCAGAGACACACGGGGGGGGGGGGGGGGGGGGGGAGGTAGGGAGCAGCGGGGAAAGGAAGGACTGGAGTCAAAATAAGGGGGGAAGTGCAATTGTATGGGGAATATAACCAAAATGAAAATGAAAGTGCAAAGATGAAAAAAGATGTAAGAATTATATAAAATAAAATATTTAAATAAAAAAAGTATCTTTTAATTGCTATTGTTTTTAAAGCTAAAGAAACACAAAACCAGATTTCTGGGGCCATCAATAGTGCTATCAAAGGAATTTATTTAATGGGGCTGTTTCTGCAAGGGCCCAGGAGTTTCCTGGCACAGACCAACATACTATGCTGTGACTGGCTGGATTTATGGATTTTCATATCTGGTATGAAACATCTATCGCCACATTTTGATGAATTTCCAAATGCACCACATGCATGGAGAGCAATTCAAACATTTTTAAGTGAAATGGAAACTGAATGGAGAAGGGATAAGTTACTTTATAAGGAAGTGAAGCTATTTCTGATATTTATTTCATGAAATTGGAAAATGATGGTGAGCCTTTTAATGTGGACTCCTGATGTCTAACAATTCTTTCAAAGGTGAGATTAGATTCCAAGGAAGTCTTATAAAAAAGTAACAGCCATAGCTTGGGGGCACCAATTCAATCAAAAACAAAACAGCTCTCCTTTCCCCCTAATTAATGATCAACAAAGGGAGAGGCATGAATTTTGTCAATTATAGCTTATTGTGAATGAAGTTTGGCTGTTTTAAGTAAAAGTGACTCTTACAGACTAAGTTTAAGATAGATGGATGCCTCCTTGTTCGCCTTAAAATTTTTTGTAGATTTAAAACAACAAACAAACAAGACCCTGACTACTTACTGTACAGAGTTTCTAATTATTTACTTTCATCAGGGCTTGGAGAATTTCTAAGGCACAGAAAGAGATATGAATTTAGCCCAATGTTTATGATCAAAGCAACTTGGATATAAACAACAGAGATGCATAAAGTTAGGAACAGCCCTTGGTGTTATTATTACATCTTAATATTTTAACAGAGTGAAAACATTTTTCCTTACAAAGACTGTGATAAGAAATCTCTGAAACTTCCTACAGGAAAGGGTGAGAAAGCTAATTCCTGCCTCTAAGTCTTCCTTGGTGACAAGGACTCAGGCGAGATCAAAGTCTCCTTTCCTGTCACTGCCCATATGAGGTTTACAGGGAATTGCTGAGAGTGCAGGCCATTCTCACCTGTCCACCAGATTTGTTTTAAGGGGAATGATTAAGCTTCCTCTGAGAACTACTTCCTCTGATGCTGTCTTTTATACACAATAATAAAATTCTATTCAGTCACTCAAAGATATATATTAAGCATACATTTGAGGTTCTAGAAACCAGGATAGGGCCATGAACAAAATACACAAGGACTGAGCAGTTGGCTTAGGGAATGGTGCTTATAAAGTAAGTACTTAATACTATGCAAAGACCACCATGAGCACACACAGAGGCAATTCTGGTGGCTGAAATAATAGCAAAGTGGACCCTACAAGATATACTACTTCAGTTTTAAGTTAGTGAAAAATAATGATTCATTTTTAAAGAAGGATTATTTTTACAAATCCTTTCTTAGATGATCTCTATAAAGTGAGGGACTCTCCTACCTCCCTGGTAGACACAGGTTAATGCAGCCTGACAGACAATCCAGCATACTTGGCATATTAGCATTTGAGTATGAATTTAATGAGTCAGGGTCCTGGAATCTTCAGGCTACTTGAGCTGACAATTTGATGAAAGCAAGACTTAATCCCCACAAAGCATGCTCTAAGATCCTGACAGGAAATGAAAATACTGGCTCTTGCTGGGTTGCATTTTCAGAAAAAGGCACCACAGAAGATCCAAAGACAGGGAGTCCTTCTAACAGTGCAATCTTTATGGTCTTGCAAACACGCGCCCCCCCCTCCCCCCCCCCACACACATCCTAGGTGTGGGCTGTCAGCCTCCAGAGTCAAGGGCTCAAAGCAAGGCGTGAGTGCTGGAAGCAGAGGACTGAGGTGTTGGGAAATTTAATTAGCATGTGTGAAACAAAATGGGTCTGTGGCTGAAAGTCACTCTGGAAGTGTGAAGAAATTTGATTGATTTTTGAGAACTTCCATTTCCCAGGAATGAACAAGCCTGGGGAAAGAGGAGCTGCTTAGATTTTTGTTGTTGCTGTTTGTTATTGTAAAAGTATTTTTTTCGAGTCTTTTGCTGGTAAGGCTTCTATAGGTCTTGCTTATAAACTGTATCTTCACTAAAATAAGGATTTCTCTTCATCTGTCCAGAGCAAGGGCTTGCATGACCTTAACCAATACATGGACCTACCATGGATCCAATGTCACGCTTTGTAACAGGAATTTTATAGCTCAGGAAGAGACTTTTTTGCTTCCATAAAAACCTGTCCAGTTCAACAAACAAATGTAGAATATACACCAGAAATGAATTTTAGGTAGCTGCACTCCAAGGGCTCATAGTTTTAGATAGGGGGAAATGCTATGGGATCCACTATCGCCACAAAGGCATACTGAAATAACTTCAACATCAAGTGAACTATGGTCAGGATTGTAACAGATTAATCTCAGCTAGTTACTATTTACAATAGCCAAGATATGGAAACAGTCTAAAATGTCCAGAACAGATAAATGGATCAAGAAGATGTGTTAATATACCCCATGGAATACTACAAAGCTATCAAAAAAGACAAAGTCACGCCATTTTTGGCAACATGGATGGAACTGGGATTATTTTAAGTGAAGGAAGCCAGAAGGAGAAAGATAAATACAAGATGGTTTTGTTAGGGGGAAAAGGCAGTCCCAAAGCAAATTCCATACAGGCTTTGTGGACTCCACCCCCACCCCAGGTCAAAGCCAAAGACACTGGGAACTCCAAATCCCATCACCACCAAAGGGAAGGTGGCTGGGACCTGAGGGTGGGGTTAAGCAGCCAGGTGGATACAAAAGGCAGACACGTGGGCTTTGGGGGCTCTCTCCATTTTGGGGCCCTCGGCCAGCTCGCGGCGTCCGTCTAGCTCTGAGAGTGACTTTGGGGTTTCCAGGTCGTCGGATCGGGTAGGACGCATTAAAGACTTTATTTCCCTATTTTCTCCCTGAGTTGTACATTTTCCTTATTTCTTTTTCTCTTGTAAATAAACCTTTTATTAACCCTTTTGCGTGTGTCTGTAGTAGAGTATTCATAAGTCCCTTTAAAGCGCGCGGGTGAGGACCCACAGCCAGGAACCCGTTTAATATCGGGGTTGCTCTATAACAGTTTCACTTATATGTGGAAACTAGAGAAACAAAAGATCAGACAAAAACAACTTTAAGACTGACCCTTGAAAACAGATCATAGACCTGAGACACCTAGGAGGGGAGGGGTGGAAGAGGGGAGAGTAAAGGACAGGGGAGTAGTAGAAGCTAGTGGACGACTGTGGGCACTCTGGTGGTGGGAAAACTATGGTGACTGTATCTGAGGGGAGAAATCCTATACTGTGAAAAAATAAGCAAGGATGTTTAAAAAAAAAAAAACAATAATCTCAGCTAGTAGGTTTCGAGCAGAATTTCATAAGAGGAATTTGGTTGCACTTGAAAGATGAACCGCATTTTCAAAATGAAGATGCGGGAAGAGCATCTGGGGCAAAAGGGAGTAAATGAACAAAGGCATAAAAGTGTGTTTGGAGAGAGTGGGCAGAAACATGACTAAACTGTGGAGGCTGCTTTGAAAAGACCAATGTTGTGGAAAGACAGAAGGACCCTAAATCCTCTCAGATTAAGGACTGGGACTATATCTAGAAGAAAAATTTGGGGGGAGATGGAGAAAATCAAGGGCAGCTGTTGAGCAGATGAAAGCCATAATTTATGTTAAGCCACAGAAAAAGAACTGTCAGGAGTACATGGAAGAGACTGGAGACAGATAGAAGGCAGCCCCAAGTGTCCAGGCGAGGGGTGGAACCCAGGATGTGAGCAGAGAAAGGATCAAAGCAGTGGCTATAGGAGGAGGGGATGGTGAGGGGGCACTGCAGAGGCAGGTGCAGGCTGCGGCTCCTGATTAGATCTTGGGGGTTGGCAGGGGCCAGAGGCAGGTGCTCAGGTGAGTCTAAATTTCAGGCCCAGGGAAGAAACCAGGTGGTGAGAAGGGAGTGAAGGAGAGGAGTGCTGGAGAGGAAAGTAGACTAGAGCTACACTGAAAAAGAACAAAGATGGAAGACGGCACACCCAGGGCGGTGGTGGAGGGGGGGAGGTGGGGGGTGGATATGAAAAATTCAATGTAATGATTTTTCATTCTTGGACCACATGCTACTGACTTAAAAAAAAAATAAAAGACATTTTAAATCTTAAGGTGGCAGTTGAAGAGGGAGAGTCAGGAATCCGCATAAATTATACTGACACCATCTAGTTGTGGAGAAAATGGAGCCAGAGTAACATTTGTACATATCCTGATTTCAACTTCCTTTAAAATTTCTACCTTCCAAGGTTTATGGCTCCTCCCCATGCTTTCTAACGCCCACACTCACTCTAGGCTATGCATGCACCTCCACTTAATTTCTCGACCCCTTTCTGGAAGGCAGTGAGTGGTGCGAGGCGGAGTGCCTACCCGGGGGATGGGAAGGGACAGCTGGTGCTCATGTGGCCTTGGCTCGGTCCCTTCGCTGAACTTTATTCAGTTAAACTCCGCCGGAAGAGACGTGGACACAGAGAAAGCAGCTGCCCACCCCGGCGTGTTCATCTATTGTGGCCGCCACCTTTTGTCACAGCAGCAGGCACACGCCACCCCAACCAGGCTTTTAAGTGTATTAACTGATAGTTTTGATGTTTGTTTGAGGGAGGTTATAATAGATTCATGGGGTACCGAGGTGACCTAAATAATGCCTGGAGTTCCAGGTTAGAGCTGGGGGCAAGGTACTGTAACTGCAAAAAACTTTTTTTGCCTTATGGGAAAAAATACATAAAATAACAGCTTATAACATTTAGGTTCATACCTCAAACTCCAGGTAGTGATCTTTCAGTTTGTATTCGTCTATCTCCTTGGCTTTCACTTTTTTGTCTGGGGGGTAAGAGCGATGCTCAGCCAGCTCGGTGGTAATCTGCTTCAGCTTGCTTTCGTGAGACTTCAGCTGTTCCTCCTGTAGAAAATTATAAAGTCATTTAGCATCCAGGAAATAAATCAATAAAAACTGTAGAGCACTTTAAAAAATCCCTTATGATGGATGATTTTAATTCATCAAAGCAGCCCAAGGTCCCTCTGCTGCCGCCTCTTAACCAACTTTCTCAGGCCAAGGTCACATGGCATTTGCAAAATAGCAACCATGGTGCCTTCCTAACCAGGCCCGTTGTCACACAACTATATGCTTTCAGAGCCTTCCCAGAGTCAATGGTCGAGTTGAGACACCTAAGCCGAGGTGTCACCTGGCTTCTCCATTTCATGTCCAGTCAGCAGTGCTGCTAAATTTCCCAACCTGTCACAATGAATGAAGAGTTGATCTGCATATTATTTTCCATTTTGGGGCAAGCAATGTCACTAAGAAAGGATTCTCTGAAAGCTATCAGATGATATCTCAAAAAAATGCAGCAACCAACGCTTTTTCCCTTCAGATTTGTAGAGGTTTGGATTTCCTTCAGCGTTATTGACCCAGAGTAGTTAATCTAGCTAATTAATTAAAACAGACCTAAAGAGTGATTATTGCCTGTAGAGTGTGGCTACAGGCAATGCACATCAATGCAACATGGATGATCCTGTGTCAAAGTCTTTCCACTCTAGGGCACCATTTATATCACCTAAAGAGAGACTATGGAACCCTCTGGCAGTATCTTAAAAATGAAACAAAGAGATTGGCATTCTTTCAAGTTCCTCAAATTGTATAGTGCTTTGCTTACTATTCCACCTTCACATATACATTATTCTTGTGAGTGTAAATGTCATGTATATAAGTAAATGAATGAAAGTAAATGAAGAGGAACCAATAAAACTAGATAGAAAAATACATTTTGTATAATATTAACATTGGTTCAAATTATAAAAACTACTGAAGAGGGTAATAATTAAAAAGACTACCAAGAAGTGAATAACTGTGGACATCAGGTTAAGATTAATACAATCAGATTTTCAGAAATTATAACAGTCATATGTAATATATTAGGAGTTTGTTATAATGCACATCTTAAAAGCCAAACAAGAGGGGAAATCCAAGTCTCATGCCATCAAAATAGAAGAGAACAATGGAAAATTTAAAAAAATTTTCTCAGAGTACATGAGAGGAAAAGTAAATTAGAGGCAGCAGGAAGTAGGGTGAATGAAAGATAACGAGATTCATTTTAAAACACTAACTAAAACAAAACAAAACTTAGAGAAGACCCAGAAACCTACAGGGAAAAAACATACCTACTGAGAAATAAGAAAGGGGTCTACACTACTCCAAGCCTGTCATTTGTACAGCCATAAAACTGAAAGTAAATGGTAACTTTTATTTACAACTTCCTCATCTTTCTAGTTCTTTCTCTGAGGACATTATAGACTATGTTATGGACTGAATACTTGTGTCTCTTCAAAATTCATATGTTGAAGCCTAATGTGGTTATAGTTGAAAATGGGACCTCTAAACAAGAAATTAGGTTAAAGGAAGTCATAGGGCAGAATCCTGATTCCAACAAGATTAGTGTCCTTATAAGAAAAAACTCAAAAGCTCTTTCTGTACCCACACACTGAAGAAAGGCCATGTGAGGACACAGCAAAAAAGGGGGCCATCAGTAACCAAGGGCAGCCTCACCACATCCTAATCCTGCTAGCTCCTTGATCTGTGACTTCCAGTCTTTTGAACTGTGAGAAAAAAAATTCTGTCCTTTAAGCTATCCAGGCTGTGGTATTTTGTTTTGGCAGTTAGCTTTTTTCCTTCAAAGTAATTTTCCTTTGTGTATTTACTGCATATAAATTAATTAGAATTTCTGACAAAAGATTTTGAGAATAGATCACACTGAGAAATAAAAACATGATTTATTTTTCTTTGTTTAATGTCACATAGACAGAAAGCCATACTGCATGATACATAAAAAACACTCGTGTATAAAGTACCCAATTTAATAAGTGGATGAGTATAAAAATAAGTTGAGACTCCTTTTTATCTACTGCATTTCTACTCGCCTCGTTTCTCTTCCATGCCATTCCTATACAAATGTGTGTATCCATGAAAATAGAGAATATGTTATGTAAGATTTTACACTTTCCAGGATACCTTTTGTAACTCACTTTTTCATTCAACACGTTAAGATTTATTCACATAATATGCCCTGCTTCCTTCTTTTTAACCTTGCACAGTATTCACTATCAGATATGCTGCAATTTCACTGAAGGATATTCAGGTTTTTTTCAGGTTTCTTGTTTTGAGGGTTTTATTTGTTGGGGGGGGGAATGTTATAAAAGATGTTACATTGAACGCGCCTATACATTGCCTAGCAAATACAATCAAGAATTTTCTGATAGCATAATCACCAAGAGGTGGAATTTCTGGCTTTTAGAATATGCACATTTTTAGATGACACTAAAATGTTTTCCAAAGTATTTCCACCAGTCTACATTTCCATAGCAGGCTTGAAAGTTCCCATTGTTCTACATCCTTGCCAAAATTTGATATGCTACACTTGAAAGTTTTTGCTAATTTCCTGGGTATGAAATGCTAAGTCACTGTAATTGAATTTACAATTCTCTGATTACAAGTGAGGATGAACATTTTTCCTATGTTTGCTGGGTCTCCTCTTTTGTGAACTGTTTTGTGAAATATTGAACCCATTTTTGTATTTGGTTGCTTGATTTTATAAATAGATTTGCAGTAGTATAGTTATTTATAGTATATTGTAAGAAGATGGTTTTTTTTTTTTTGTGAATAAAATGGCTAGAACCCAAATACTTTATTTCAAGTAAGGTTTTAGACAATTTGGGAAAAGAATACAAAATTCTCTGTAGTATTTGAATTGGGCTATGTGTAAATATTTAAAAAATTTTAGATTTAGACTTCTGAATCTTGAATATTCAAATGTTTTTCTTGTTGAATAAATTATAATTTCTACTTAATTTAATGAGGAATATAGGCCAGAACAACAATATGCACAGCACATTATATTTGTAACTGGCCATTACCGGGGTTTATTCCCTGTTATTAAGTTATGATTTATAAGTCTGATTACTTCTACAGTTGCATAAAGGGTTAGTCATTTAGGTTATATTTTTATGTTAAAAGAAATGTTGAAATTCAATGTGCACTGCTTTACTCCTACTTCACTGCCTTCATGAACCAAGAGTCAAAAAGGTGATCTCAAAATAAAAGCATTTAAAAATAACATTTCTTAAATCTGTGTATTTTGACCAATGAATAAAAATACCAAGTGCTCTATGGCAGATAGGTAGAGCATGCAAATGATTCCAGTGATCGACTCTCACAGCTCATGAGATACACAGACTGTTCCTGACAAAAACTGGTAAAAATGGAGGAGGGAGGCAGCAGGTATGAAGACATGGCACTGCCAGACTCAGGAAGACTATTTATAAGATGGTAAAGAAAGACAAAGAAGGACTCTTGGTTTTCTCCCTTTTTTCTTTGCTTTATAATGCAGTAGGGAGCACATATACTCTTCTAATGAGGCAATACTAGCAAGGGATTTCAGGAAAGGCAGGGAGCAGAGGTAGGGGCTGCAAGTACTCACTGATGCTGTTTTGGGTTAGGAAGTGATTACTTCAGGACTAGCAAAATGGTTGTGGTTCTATATCAATAGATGTAATTTGGTAAAACTATGATAATATTGATATAACAATGAAATTTTATCTAAAGGACAAGTTTTAGATGATATCACTTATGACTTACTTTTTTCCTACTTACATAGTACTTTGACTTTATAGGCAATTTCACCTTTTCCTTTAAAACATCAAACACTAATTGCATCTCTCTGAAGAAAGTATTTCTTAACTGGTTGGGGCACTGGTGACAGACAACCTGGTTGTTTAAGATCTCATGGCAGGTTAAAGGATGAGGTAGAGAGACCTCTGTTCTGATGCTGAGTTCCAAGTTCTTGCTCAAGGACACAGGGGTAGGGACAGTGGAGCAGTGGTCCCATTCTCTCGACTTCCAGTCATGAACTCACCTAGAACAACCTCTTAAAATCAAAGGGCTGCTGGAAACACAGGCTTCGGAAATTCTATTTCTTAATGTAATCTGCGCTGACCTCAGATTTCAAAGCTCTTCATAAACTGTATCGGTCCTTATGTTCTTTCTCTCACCTGGCTTCCAAACATGGGGGATGTACTCACGGCCTTGCTCCAAACTCCACTCAAAGCCAGTGTGACTCCAGTGTTCACGGGCTCTTCCTCTCCTCACTGTGATAGTAGTGCCTAGATATCTAAATGACATGCTTACTACAAAGTATACTCTGACTTGTATGTGAATTTTTATCCACTTTACTGATTTTATAATCAGTAAATGATTATATACAATGAATTTTTTTTTTAAGATTTATTTATTTTTATACAAGAGGTAGGGTACAGGCCAGAGGCGTGAGAGGGTAAGAGGATTCACCAGAGATACAGAGCGGGGAGCAGAACAGGCAGACTGACTGAAATACACAGCTGAGGGTAGCAGCGGGCAAGACAGGAGAGGTCTGCCACGCCATGTGGGAATTTCCCTGGCTGGTCGGGAATCGAACCCGCGCTGCAGAGGCTGTGGACAGCTTTGCAGCACTGCGCTCAACCTGCTGCACCACCGGGGAAGCCCTATACAATAAAATTTGAAGGCAAAGAAAAGCCCTTTTCATCTTCTCTCAAATCCTCCAGGGTCTAGTACAGCACTGAGCAGAGAAGACAGTATGTGGCATAGTTTTTGGCTTGTCTATATTACCTGCCTAGCACTAGCACATACCTTAAGCTCTCATTAGTTGAGAGTCAGACCAGTGTCTTTGCTATTTTTATAATGCCCATATACCTATTTAGTACCCAATACATCAGTCTCTCAGTAAACAGTAGTTGAATAAATGGATGATTAAAAAAAAAAAAATGAGACAGAGTACCAGGTATCTACCCAAAGGACGCAAAAATACTAATTCAAGAGGAAATCTGTGCTCCTATGTTTATAGAAGCACTATTTAC